GGTATCGCTGGGTAGGTACACCAGGCAAGCACAGGGACGAATCCCCAGCTCTGCTGTCAAATTATCTGAAGAGGCAACCCATCTGCATTGAGTGTCACGTTTGAAGATACTACCGTAGCCATGACCCAGGCACCTGCAGTTCCTTCTGTGTTTTGCCTGCTTCATCTGGTCTTTATTTTCCTTCTGTGTTCCCACCACTCCTTTTTCTTCTTCTTCCGTTTTCTCCCAAATATGACCCTCCTCTGTGTGTGCGTGTAAACCGTTGTTAAGTTGCAGCCAACTTACAGTGACCCAGTAGGGGTTCCCAACATGAAGAAGAGCTGGATTTCCACCCCACCCTTCACTCAGAGTCTCAGAGCGGCTTACAACCTCCTTTCCCTTCCCCTCCCCACGACAGACACCCTGTGAGGTAGGTGGGGCTGAGAGAGCTCCTTTTGAGAACAGCTCTTTCAAGAACAACTCTGAGAAGACTGTGACTGATCCAAGGTCATCCAGCTGGCTACATGTGGAGGAGCGAGGAATCAAACCTGGTTCTCCCAGATTAGAGTCCGTGCTCCTAACCAATACACCAAACTGAAGAAGAAGAAGAAAAGATTGGATTTATATCCCACCCTTCACTCAGCGTCTCAGAGCAGTTTGCAAACTCTTTTCCCTTCCCCTCCCCACAACAGACACCCTGTGAGCAATGCTCCCTCTAAGCTCTGGAGACTTGTGAGCAAAAATTCTATTTTGTGAGCTACTGGCATTAAAGTTGTGAGCAAGCAATTTGGCTGCTGCATAAATTAGTTTGCTCTGGAGTCATCCTTCCTGAGCTAAGACAAAAAATGTGTGAGCTGGAGGCTAGAAAACTGTGAGCTAGCTCACACTAACTCAGCTTAGAGGGAATATGTGAGGGAGGTGGGGCTGAGGGAGCTCTGAGAGAACTGCCCTTGAGAGAACAGCTGTAAGAGAACCATGACTGACCCAAGGTCATCCAGCAGCTGCAAGTGGAGGAGGAGTGGGGAATCCAACCCGGTTCTCCAGATCAGAGTCCGCCACTCTTAACCACTACACCAAACCGGCTCTCAACATGATGCCTATGGGAGCCATGGTGCCCAGTGGCATCTTAACCTGTTGCCCACCGAGTGTTTTAAGAAAGTGGGTGGGGGTAGGTGGAGTCATGTGGGCTCTTGCCCAGCGTAGCTTTGGATTGGCCACTGGAGATTTGATAGGCTTTGCAGAATAAAATAAAAAGAATAAAATTTGCTTGTCATGGGCAAAATAGGAGGTGTGCAGTGGGAAGACGCATCTGGTTGTAGCTGCCACCACAGGGTTGGTTTTGCTTTCTCTTACTCCTCTCTCAGTTTGGTGTGGTGGTTAAGTGCACAGACTCTAATCTGGGGGAACCGGGTTTGATTCCCCATTCCTCCACTTGCAGCTGCTGGATGACCTTGGGCAAGCCGTAGTTCTGTCAGAGCTGTGTTCTCAAGGACAGCTCTGGAAAGAGCTCTCTCAGCCCCCACCTACCTCACAGGGTGTCTGTTGTGGGGAGGGGAAAGGAAAGGAATTTTTAAACCGCTCTGAGAGTGAAAGGTGGGGTATAAATCCAATCTCCTCCTCTTCTCCTTCTTTTTCTCTGTCATGTTCTTCCTCTGTGCATAGGGCTCTGCCTCCTTCAGCAGCCATTTTGCCTCTGTCTACCGCAGCAGCCATTTTGTAGTTGCACCCATCACCCTTTGTCAAAGTTCCAAAAGTGCCCACGGGCTCAAAAAGGCTGGGGACTCCAGCTGTAGGGCTGTCGAGATGTTCAGAGATGGTTTGCCGTTGCCTGCCTCTACGTGGCAACGGGACTTCCTTCGTAGTCTCCTGTCCAAATACGAACCCGGGCCAACCCTGCTTAACTTCCAAGGCCTGATGAGATGGTGTTAGCCTGGGCTATCCAGGTTAGGACACCTGTGGCACCACGCGATATTCAACCTTCCTCTTGCAGGTGTGTTCATGCCAGTATTTTTCTTAATGCAGTGATTCTGTGATAGCTCATCAGATGGGCGCTGTGACAGATGACCTCTAGTCCTGCTCTCCGGGCATCCCATACATATTAAGCGACACACCCTTAATGTAGCCAATCCTCCAAGAGCTTACAGTAGCTCCTGTAAGAAGAGCTCTGTAAGCTCTTGGAGGATTGGCTACATTAGGTGGTGTGGCCTAATATGCAAAGGAGTTTCTGCTACAAAAAGAGCCCTGCGGGGGGAGTAGGCAGATACTAAGCGGCATCAGCCAAAGAGAGGTTGCGGGTCCTCTAGGGTGGGAGCGTTAAATGGAGGGAAAATCTGTCGTCGCCTCAGATAGGGCTCAGAGAAGCAACAGAGAAACAAGGAAATCTATCAGGAGATCAGTTAGGCTTTGCCTGGTAAAGAAAAAGAACTCCGATATCTATAGTGTAGGGCTCGGGGCCAAGAAAGAGGCAAAAATAGAACAGGTATCCTGTGTTACCTGAGGGAAATAGTAGGCTGGGGATTTTTATTTGTTTATTTATTAGATTTTTACCCTGCCCTCCCAGCAAGGGCGGCTCAGGGCGGCTTACAGCAATATAAAACAGGACAATGAAGAATAAAACCTAATCAAGCATAAATTGAAAACCGTAACTATACAACTTAATAAAGCGCTAGCATTTTGAGGGGACCGAAGGAGATATTCCAAGAGACAAGTTAGCCTATTTCAATAGGCTGAGGTTCTTGGGTCTAAGGAAGAGCTCCGAATGAAACCATCCTCTCTGACAGAAATACCCTGTCAGTTCAGTAAAGCTGCGGGTGTTGTGATTCTGTAACTGTTTTACACCAGAGTTCTGCACTCCCTTGCTGTAAAAAAACCCTACAGCCCCTTTAGAGATGTAAGGTTTCCGGAAATTTTGAAGCTCGGGAAAAAACCCGTGGTTTTTTTTTCATTTTTTTCGGGGGAAAACGAAAATTTTCGGAAAAATTGAAAAAAATGTTACATTAGCATTTTTTTTGTCTTTTCTAGATTGAAAGTTTTTTTCTGACAATCACACCTCCTTAAAGAAGAAATGTGTCTTGTTCTTGCATTGGAGAGTTCAGTTTGTAACTTAGGACTTGCTTGTCCTCAGTGCACAGAAATTAGATCAATCTGATACCATATATATAGATTTTAGAAATGATTTGGAAAATATTTGAACACCTTGTCTTAAAATATTTTATTCATCATGTTAAAATAAAATGTTCCATAATCAATTTTTTTTCTTTTCTTTTCTGTTTTCAATTTTTCCAATTTTTTAGAAAAAAACAAAAAGACTTCAAGAAAAAAATGGGAAAAAGCCGTT